CCCTCCCCACAGAATTTTTTGTCCTCATAACAATTTGTTATTACCCAAATCCTGAAGAATAAACTGGTAAAGAATAGCAATAAAAACCCATCAAAGTATAAACTACAAGAAAATAAAGGAAACTGCTGTTTCTAGCCACCTTAAGTAAGCAGTACTTAGCTGGCATGGTTATTCTTGCTTGTCTGACACTCCACCCAAATGTGAAGTGTCCTACTGTAACCAGTGTGTTCTGTAATTTTCAAGGGAGCTGACAACTGCCATTAGAAGTAAAACCAACATCGCTTTTGGATTTTATCATTCCCTCTTTGAATGGTTCCATCCACTCTATGAGAAGGATCTTGCCAATAACTGTACGACATGGGATTATGTCAAGGTATGCAAAAGTGTATATATTGAAATTATATGTTACCTAATCATGCACAAAGCTATGTTCCCATGAGATAACAACGCAATTCTCTTACTGTTGCTTCATTAGCGCAAGCGAATATTAAAGGCGCTGAACTGGCCGGATGCGAGTTTGTTTTGTTGTGACACCAGTTCGATACGAGGTCGGTCCATTTTTTCTTTCTGGTTTATTTCTCTACTTCTTTCAAAAATCAAAACATCTACTTAAAAAAAACTGTGCTGTCGAAGCTGCTAAAAGTAACCGTTTAAGTTTGCGCCGCGTCAAAATCCACCTTGGAAGGATTTGCTCCAAAAGATGCCACTCAGAAAACTGACTTCATCGTTTAGCAAAACAAAGGTTTGCAAAATGTACGGTCAGTATAAATATGTACGGTGGACTGCAGACTACAGACTTAGGTATGAAACGCAGACTAAGCATTATGGACTGGGTGTAAAACACGGACTCAGATATAAAATGCAGACTGTGGACTAAATGCGGCTTACCGACTGCAGTCCATGTTTTACATAATATATGTATAAACGAGAACAAACCCTCTCCTGTGAAAGTGCTTTGTGATCAATTCATTTGTTTTCGCCCCTACTGGAGGGAGGCCAATTTCACATCTACCTAACAGCTCAGGCACAAAATGCTGTTCACAGAATGTTTGCTTTTTATTGTACCAAACCTACCGAACCTCAAACGCACTCTTTAATCTACAATTACTACTAGTTTTCATTGTAGCAGAAATGCCTGGTCAGTGTCTGACCAGGCTAAGCTTTTACCTGTTAAAACCTCAAATTTACCCGACAACTGCCGTATGACCGACTGTTATTTGCAAACTTGACAGTAACATGTTTTTGATAAGCATTAATTTTGTTTTAATCATTGCCAAAGGTACATTACTTTAAAAAATTTTGGACATTTAATTTTGGGATGCTTTGCTAGAACATAGCTTAGAACATTAGCATAGCTTTTATGGAATTGATCTGCATTACAAGTATGTTCTCATAAAAGAAACACAAATTTTCCTTTCAGGTGATAAAAAGAACAAGCAAATCGTAATTCAAGTTCGTACTTCATCATGCATGTGATGGTGCAGTCCAAGAAGAAAGTATGTACTTTATACTGTACTTTAAATTAATTTTGGATGCTTAAAATTTCTAGGCTCCATTTCCAGCTGTTTTGGGGGTCCGGTTGTTTATCCTCCTCCCAACGAACGGCTGGAGTACTGGTCCGTAGTGCTTGTCTGTGACGTCACATCCGCTTTTTATGCAAATTATCATGTGGGCACCTGCGGGCAGCGTGGGAAAAAAAATGGCAGAGTTTGTTACTCCACAAAAAATTAAACCTGTCAGCAAAGATGTGTTCTATGTGGAAATGTTTTGGATAATTCAAGGAAAAGTGTAAAACTAAAAGAGGAACTTGTTTCAAAGCTACAAAAAACGGTAGCTAGCAAGAATCTCGACTTTGCAACGATTGTCACAAATCACTGGGTAAACAAGTATTTGAGTTAGTCAACATCATTGATCCTGAGCCTGAAGAGCACAATGCAAGAGAACTATCCACTGAAACCAGGAATCACGAGCCAGTGTTATGTCCTCAGCCTGCCTCTGTTGTGAGACCTCTGTACCTAACTAGAGCTTTTCCTTATCGCTATACCATGCAGCCAGGTTCTACCACTCTCGGTAGCATGACTGAATGTCACTAATTCTGTAGAATTTCCAAAGCGAAGAAGCTCCCGTGTGTAGAGTTGACGTAAGAACTCTTTTTTTTTGGCAAAAAAGATACCAAAGTTTAAGGCTGCCAGTTCCTATCCCGACTTCAGTGATCCGACCACAAAGTGAACGAAATTGCTTGTCCTATTCAGGTAGACACATGACGGTAATAAAACTTGTATCCTAGCTCATGGTTTAGTTCTAGCCCTATGTTTTTGAAATTATCGAAAATTGCTATTACAAAT